AAGCAACTTGTAAGATGCAAAAGTAAAGCAATTGCTCTCTTTATTCATTTCCCAAATACTTTGGTCATACTCCTATATGTGCAAGGCACTAAGTGACACATGCCGTGGGCACTTTTCCTCCTGGAGTTGAGTCTTCAATGGGGGAAGGAAGACCCAGACCACAAATTACTGTAATTGTTGGCAGTGCATCATGGGGGTCACAAAATGCTAAGAGGGCCCAGACCACATTCAGTAGGGTAGGTTAGAAAAACTGCCTGGGAATGAGCTTGGAGGCTGAGCATGGACTGTAGGACCCTCCATGAGCTGGCCTTTGCCTGCTTTGTTTTCTTGCCCTCATCTCCCAGCAGCCTGAACACTGCCTCCCTACCCCATAGGCACACATGTGCGTGCAGTCATCAGACCTTGACCGTGGTCCCTGAGCAATCTCTCTGCAGTTTACTGATGGTCGAGTGACAGGATATGCAGGATGCTGGCCTGGCTACTGAGTGGGCTGTGGTTCCTGCCCTGAGGACACACACTGGAGACAAATATTGACAGTTATATTTTAATGAGCTAAATCTTAACTCCCGTCTCCTGGTGCATATCATTGGTATTGCTGCCTACCCGTGCTGGTTAACAAAGTGTACAAGAATTGCACACAGAGAAATTCTTACAGCAATTTGACTTTGCTGAGATGTTTGCACTATAGTTTACAAAAATAGTTTCTAACAGATTGGAGGGAAAACAGTCCTTCACCACAGATAGTTTGAGAAGCTGGTGTATAGATCACCATAACTTGGATATTTTTGATAGGAACATTTTTGCGTACACATTTCCCCCCTCTGTCATATAAACAAATAATCATATAAAGTGCTTTTTTAAAATCTCATCTCATTTTATTAATTATGAAAGTAATATGTCTTTATTGTGATAAAACTTGGAAAGTAACAAAAGAGTTCTTCATTTTTCCTCTTTAAAGTGATCCATACATCTGACACGAGCTAATGGCTGCTCACATTTTGGTACACTTCCCTTGTCTTTTCTTCCTGCTCATGTGTGTAAATTTTTTTCTAACATAAACGGGACGTTGTACACATATTCTTTATTTTATATATCATAAATATTTGTGTGTCATTAAATATTCTTTTACAAAGGACTGCTCGGTGGTCTGTCATCTAGTTGTACCATAATTTATTTACCCTTTTTCTTTAGTCCTCTATTAGTAGCGCTTATTTTATGCCTTCATTTATTTGCTATCATAGATAATGCTTTGAAAACTTTTGTGACATCTTTGATAGTATCTCTGAATATTTCTTTAGGATATATTTCCAGAAGCAGAAATAGTCGTACCTTTACTAGGTCAAAAGTTATGACTATTTTAAGGCTTTGGTAAATTGCCCTTCAGAAATGTTGAACCACATTTCAGCTACCACCAGCAGTGGATCAGCTCCCCATACTGAGTACTCTCAAGATCAGTACCGTCAAGGTGGGGAGAATGTTTGCAGAGACAAGGGCAGAAGGAATGAGTGGACCACTTGAATGGATGATGAGAGGAGTGCAAGATGTTTAGGGGGCATGAAAAATGGTCTGTTGGCTAAAGTATAGGATACTTCCAAGGAAATAGAAAAGACAGAAAAGTTGAGTTGGATCTGATTTGATGGGGCACTGAAAGCCAACTTAGAATGGTACTGGGGAGACTTTGTGGTTTTGAGCAGGAGATGAGAGCCCCAGGGCTCTGCTAGGGGAAGATGGTGATATCCACACAACCAGTGTGATACCACCACGCATTCCCTATGTGCTCCGTGCCCTTTCCCACATCATGCCTTTGCTTGCACTGTTCCCTCTGCCTAAATGTCCTCTTTGTATAATCCATCAAAGCTCTCCTCATCCATCAAGGACCAGTCCCAGATTCTCCACTACATACTTCTTGCTCCATTATATAGCACTTAGTGGTATGATATGCCATATTACCTCTATGATAACTATTTGGTGCACTGCTCTCTCCCACCATATTATAAGCTCCTAGTGGCCCATTCATTTCTGTATCCTTGTGTGCTTACTGTTGTGCCTGGTATATATGTAGGTATTAATACACATTTGCCAAAGGAACTCCAGGTGCTACGTATGTCTCCTGTGACCTTGCACAAGTACCCTCTAGGCCAGGAGATATATGCTTCAACTTAATGGGATAATGGATGTCTCAGATTATCATGTAGGGCTCCATGAGGGACACCCTGCTCTCAACATTTCCCCTCCCTTCCCATCCCAAAGACTTCCAGTTGCCAGCTTTCAGAGACGACTATCCCTTAAAGTGAGTGGAGAGCTTGACTCGAGAAGTGTTTGCAAATCATAGTTATTTCTGAGAACTTTTACCTGAGTTTGCATCATTGTATGAATTACAAAATCAAGAAATTTGTGACAAATTTTGGAATTGGATTCTCTGATTTGGAAGAGATGCCATAAGTTGTTAAGTTGGGTTTTCCTTTTAAACCTTAAGAACAAAACCAAAGTTCAAAGAAGACACCCATTTCCTCACTATGCAGAATTAACCATTGTTATACGTTGACACACTTGCTTCTAGTCTCTCGTCTGTGTGTATACTCTTATATTTAATTGTATAAATAATATATGAATATGTTTTTTTCTTTAAAAACTTAAAATCTTACAGATAAAGCTTAAGGTTCCCTTGACTTTCATCACCATGTCCCATAGTTTTAAATTCTTTTGAAGTAAAGTCCTTTGTTTAAATGAGATTTTATGTAAAAGCCCAATATTCATTCAGTAAATATGTGAGCATCCCATGTTCATGTGTCTCATGTACTATCATGTGCTGGGGACAGCAATGAACAATATATGCAGGGGCCCTGCCCCCATGAAATAATCATATAGGATAATTTCAGATAGTGTTGACTACCATGAAGAATGCCATACAGGGTCAAGGGAAGAGTATGACTGGAGTGGGAAAGAGGACTTCCGCAGACACACTGCTTGGGGATGGCCTCTCTGAGAAAGTGAAATTCGAGCTGAGGCCTTAATGATGAAGAAGAATCAGCCATGCACAGATGTGGGCCAAAACATGCCAGTCGAAGACATAGCTGATGCAAAGGCCCTGAGGCAGGGGCCAGCATGGCCAGTGTTGTTGAAGTACAGTGACTTATACGAAGAGTGCTACATAGTGAGGTGGAGAGGCAGGCAGGGGCCAGATCACGGAGACCCTTGGAGGCTGTTGGATGGCCTTTCATATTCTTATAATTGCAGTGAGTAGCCACTGGAGGTTTTTATAACATAAGGTTGATACCTAATATTTCAATATACAAAATAGATAAAAGCAGAGCTGCTGGAATTGAAGCTGAAGTGAGAAGCTCAAATCAGCACCTACTGAAAATCTCTGATCTCTCCCCCATCTCCCATCTCCTAGTAGGTGTACTTTATACCCTAGGCATTTCTAACCGGGAACTCGAGTCTGAAGACAAGAGCCAGGAACTCTTCACCTCCATCCTGCCCCGACTGTAGACGTTAGTAAGTTCTTCCTTACGTCTCCCTATAGCTTCCACCCATTGGTTTTAAATTCAGCCTTGAGGATAACACAGCTCTGATCCTGTTTCTAGGTAGCGGCCTACCTAGAAACAGGCCTACCTAGAAAGCAGTTCAAGGATAGATGTGGGCCTCTGCCTCCCCTCGGCCTTCTCTTCCCTTTCAGGAAGTGCCTGCTCTAGTGTTAGCACTGTCTCTCAACACATGCTGAGTGTGTCAGGATGGTGACACTAGTTACGTCGTCTGGTGATCTGCAGTCTGCTTTCTCTGAGTATGCTCAGCATTCATTGTAGCTTCTCCAGCAAGGTCACCTGCCCACAGCTCTAAAAAATGAGAGCAATCAAGACCCAACTACATCTTCCTTCCTTCCTTCCTTCCTCCCTCCCTTCCTTCCTTCCCTCCTCCCTCCCTCCCTTCCTCCCTCCCTCCCTCCCTTCCTTCCCTCCTCCCTCCCTCCGTCCCTTCCTCCCCTTTCCTCTCCCCTCCCCTCCCGAAGAGTAGGGGAGGCTTCTAAATGTGACTCCCAGTTGCCAGTGGCATAAATTCAGCCTTATCAGGCTGGCTCTTAGCTCCTCCACACCAGCTTGCCTCTCTAGTCTGACTCCCCAGGACCTTCCCTCAAATTCACACCTTCGTTCCCACCATCTTCCTTGCACAGATGCATTTCTCCTCTGCACTTCCAACTCATGAAGGGCCAGTTCACACCCCACTTGTTTTTTTCCTTCAACCCCATCTCCTTTTTAAAAATTGAAAATCTACATGAGTTATACATGAATATGTGCTCATTATAAAAAGAACAATAGCTTGAAAAGAATGTTTCCTTTCTTCTTTTTCCTAGTCTCCTTCCTCTCTCAGAGTTAGGAATTTGCGTTGTATCTTTCCATGCCTTTTGCTATGCATTTACGTGTAAACGATTTAGGTTTTTGTGTGAGATTGTCTTAAAAAGACATTATGGCATAATGTTATACACATTATTCTTTGACTTTTTTCATTTGACAGTATAAGTTGGAAACTTTTCCAAGGCAATACATGTAGTTTTTTTAATACTTAAAAAAAACCTATACAATCATTAAAAATGTATTTTTATGGTACAAATTCAAAAAGATATAAAGTGAAAAGGAATAGTTCTCCAGTTTCCTATTTTTATTTTGGAGGTTGCTGCTATTAACCCTTTCTTACATATATTCATAAATACATGTAAGTCATGCGTCACTTAACGACAGGGCTACATTCTGAGAAATGTGTCGTTAACGCTGGGGTTGTACCGTTTGCTCAGTAGTTGGTCACAGGAAGCATCTGACAAGTGAACAGGCATGTGCTCTGTGCCTGACTGGACTCAGACCCTCTTGGGGTTGTCCTTTCTGTGCCCTATAGGGTATTGGCATTGCCTTCAGCTCAGGGAGCTCGTTCTTGAATTGATGTGACTTAAAGAAAAACTCTTTTATTCATTTTTGCACACTTAACGATGTCATATCCTCTTTTTGCAGAGTTTAGTCACTCCAAGAGATAGAACAGAATTCAGCCATGGCCCCAAGGAAGAGAGGTGGACGGGGGATTTCATTCCTCTTTTGCTGTTTCCGAAAGAATGATCACCCAGAAATCACATATCGGCTGCGAAACGATAGCAACTTTGCGCTTCAGACCATGGAGCCAGCGCTGCCCATGCCCCCTGTGGAGGAGCTGGACGTCATGTTCAGTGAGCTGGTGGTGAGTCCCAGGCTTCCATCCTGGAGTGGCCAGGGGCCAGGAGGGAGAGGAGAGGATGTGGATGGTTTGGTTTGGTTAGCCATGGGCTTGTCCTTCTTCAGTGAAATGGCCCCATCTGTCCCTTATCCCTGCACCCCACCGTCAGCACTGAGCCTGTGGAGAAGGAGACAGAAGAGGATAGGGTAGCATTACTACATCAAAAGGCTTTGCTTGTGCTTTAAGTGGAGGGATTCAGATCTTCAGGTCTTCAAATAATGTGGCAGTACTGCGCCTAAGTTGCCTTTTCTAATTCCTCCCCGTCCCCACCGGCGTCCGTGCTTGTGTGCATAGATAATTCCCTCATCCGTTGCACACCCCCTGGGATTCCCCACTGCTTCCTCCACCCCCACTGCCAGTGTACAGTGTTAATGTCTTTTTAAAAATTAGTCACACTACCCCTCCTGTCCTTGATCTTTTGATGAAAGACTTTATTACTTAAGTACAATATAATTATTTAGACTAATGATAGGATTACAGTAATAACTGTTGTGGGAAGCTCTATAGATACTGTCGTATTTTAGAGTCCACTACACTGAAGTGAGAGTTGTATCTGTTGTAGGACCCATTCATCAGGAGATGTAGTGCTCTCTTCAACTAAGCTTTTCTAGCATTTCCGAAGCAGTGTTTCTTTCCATTCTGTGTTTCAGAGGATATTATGGCATAGTTTAAAGGGCACCAGCATGGGGATTAGGAAGACCTTGGTTCAAATTACTGTTAAGAGTTTATTATCTATATAAATAGGGAAAAAGTATACGACTTTTCTGAGCCTGTTTTCTGGAAAATGGAGAAAAAAATAATACCTCTTCCTAGTTCGAAGTGATGCTTAAATGAGAATAATACATAGTGGGAATGGCCCAATGCCTAGCCCTTATTAGGTGCTCAGTAAGTGTCATATGAGTCGCCTGTCCTCCCTTGATCAGCACTGGCATTTTGTGGTGGAGTTAGTTCTGATCAGACCATTTCTATTTCTCAACAGATACTAGAGCGAGTGCTATTGTTTTGCATGACTCTTAGGTCAAGAAAGTAATGCGGGCTGTGTCACTGCCCTCTAGGGATAACATCTGATGATGTTACTCCAGTGCTTCTAGACCAGAAGTCACCTGTAAGCTTATTTTATAAGCTAAGCCAGTATGAAAGAGTATATGAAGCTGATGTTTGACTTCTGGTCTCCTGAGTGGATTAATGGGCCTATTACCAACCAGAATTGGTTGGGAAAAAGAAGAGATGACTCTTGGAAGAATGATTATACTTTATGATGTTGAATATTTTCACTGTTTAAGGAATCTTTACCCTCTTCCATCTCCACTGCATGCAGAACTCTGTTCTAGGTGTTAATGAGGAGATTCAAAATAGAAAACTAGAACCTGCTCCCAAAGAGCTGACAGTTTCTGTAGCAAAAGGGGACCAATAAAGGTATAGTGCCACCAGAGGAAGAAGCACAACCCCCCTCTGCATAGATTGTGTGTAAATGTGTTGTGGAGTGTAGGACACAGTGATGAGGAGGGTGGTCGGGGAAGACTTTCTGGAGAAGGTGAGTTGTGAGGAGTAATTGAAGGTGAGAAGAGAAGTGGAGGGGATCAATGTTAATGGCTGTCTCAGTCATCTTAAGCTAGTTTATCCTGTGATAGCAAAACCTCAGTGGTTACAACAGCAGAGGTTCCCTCCTGCTAATGCTACATGTTCACTGTGGTTCTGCTCCTCGGTGCCTTCTCGCTGAGACTCAGGCCTGGTGGAAGAGGAGAATCATGGTGAACTGCCAGCAGGCTCTAAGCTTACGCTTGGAAATGTCACTTCTGCCCACATTTCTTTGGCCAACGCAAATCACATGGCCACTCCTGAGTTCACAGTGTAAGGATGTATCATTTTTCTGTAGAGGCTGGCACCAGAAGTCGTATGACCAAGCCTGAGGTCCTTGCAGTGGGTGGAAGACACATAATCCTCTCCCAGGGAGGGGCAGTGAATCATCAACATGATGGTATCAAGAAGGGCAATGATGATGCATTGACAGGCTTGATTTTATTTCCCACTTAAGTACTTTAAAACCAAAAGTCAACCTAAGGAGACAGATGTTGCTGATAAATGAAGGCCTCCTTGGTGGTAGTGGAGCTGACAGGCAGAGCTATACCCTCAAAGCATCCACATCCATGGTCCTTTGAATTGTATTCTATCAGACTCCCCAAATGAGACCTAAGCCAGAGCCTGTGTGGTGGCAGCTCCGTGTACATCTTGAAGACAGCTCATTGTTCTATATTCATAAGGGAGAAAATTCTACTCTCTGCCTTATTGATGTCTTTATTCTGTGTGAAAATTGCCTACAGCTGTTACTTCTTAAAAAGGCAATGCCAAACCAGAACTTTAAGGCGAAACCATTGGAAAACAAATTATCTTGAGGTTTGTATCTGTTCTGGTGAGTGACGGATGGATTTCTGTCTATTCCTAACTTCAGGGACTTAGACCACAGATCCATCCAACTGCCAAGGGTGTCCTGGGGCAAGGGAGGGGGCTCAGAGCCACTGGAAACGTCTACCCTGGGTTCTCATGAGTAGTGGCAGAAGCAGCTCTGCCTCTGCTCACGCAGAGGAGCGGGGGGCCATAGGGGGAGGCAGAGAGTGCATGGCCTGTGGAGTCAGACCACTCTGCAACCTAGGGTAACTTCCTTTAAGACGGTTTCTGTTAGAATTTGAGTTTATTTCCTTGCCTATAAAATGGGGGTAACCCTGTCTCTCTGATAGGGTTCTTTAAAAAGGCTGGGCACCTAGTAGGAGCTTTCACCTCACATCCTAGTGCAGCGAGAGGGATGGGAGATAACTCAGGCATTTTCTGGGCACAACACCCTAAGCAGATATCCGAGGATTTTCCTTTTCTTGAAAGCCAATCTGCCTGCTGTGAGCGAGCCAGTATGGGTCCTAGCTTGCAGGTCATTTTGCCTCCATATCTGTTGGGAAGCATCGCATCAGAGCCGGTTGTCGAAAGCTCGTTTCCTTTGCCTCTTTTGATGACTTACTCATTTGATGTTTTTAAAAGTGATACCAAGTAGGTTGCTTTCAGAATTGCTTACTGCAGCCTTACCATCTCATAAATAAAGCAAGCCTGGATGGCAGGTCACCATGTGAATCTTGAAAGAAGGTGGGCAGCAAGGAGCGCCTTGTTCTCCAGCAGGCTCTCTGCCATAGGAAGTGGAATCAGACTCATTCCAATTTCAGGATGCGGTGGTTTCTGGAGGACCCAGTCCCACAACCAGACTATTTTTTTTTAATAACAGCTTTATTGAGAGACAATTCACAAACCATATAATTCACTAATTGAAGTATACAATTCAATGGCTTGTGCAACTGTCACTATAATAAATTTTAGAACATTTTCATCACCCCCAAAAGCAGCTCCCTTACCCAGTAACCATCACTCTTCATTCCTCCCCAACTCTACCATCCCCTGGCAACTGCTAACCAATCTCCTGTCTATTTCTGTGAATTTGCCTATTCTGGACATTTCGTATAAATGGAATCATGTAATATGTGATCCTTTGTGACTGGCTTCTTTCACTTAGCATAATCTTTTCAAAGTTTATCCATATTGTAGCATGTATCAGTACTTCACTTCTTTTTATTGCTGAATAATATTCCATTGTATGGACATACCACATTTTGTTTATCCACTCACTGCTAATGGACATTTGGGTTGTTGCCAGTAGAGCTATTATGAATAATGCTGCTATATAAGCATTCATATACAAGTTTTTGCATGGAAATATATTTTCAGTTCTCATGGGTGTACCTAAGAGTGGCGCGTCTGGGTCATACAGTAACACTGTGTTTAACTTTTGAGGAACTGCCAGACTGTTTTGCAGAGCAGCTGCACCGTTTTTCATTCCTACCAGTGCTGTGTGAGGGTTCCAGTTGTACCACATCTTTGCCAGTTCTTGTTAGTGTTTACTCCCTGCCCGTTAACCAGCTGCTTGTAAAGCTGTTCTAGAGCTCCTGGAGAACCGAGGACGTGTAACTTGAGATTTTGTGTGTGTTGCCAAATAGAAATAGAGCTTCCCTGCTAACAATTTTTAACTGGTTTGGAATATTTAAAAATATTAAGTTGCGAGTTGGTGTCTTCTCGGCTAACCATATGTCTGATGCCTTTTGAGCATCAATCCTTTTCCCCGTATTACCTCCCCCGCCTCCCCTCTCCACTTCTTCTGCTTTGTCCTGTGCCTCAGCCACAAATCAAGAGCATAACCAATCTGAGACTCAGCACTGTTCCCGTAAAATAAGACTCAGCTATAGTCTTGTCTTTTCTACAGGCTTTTAAAGGTCTTAGATTATCCCCACCAACCTATCTGAAGAGCCCTAGGCATGACAACTCGCTCACTTGTCCTTATTCAGGTAACTGTTCCATCTCAATGTTAGCAGTAGAAGATTTCCTCTGGGATGAACAGAGGAATGTGTTGTTAACTGACTGATCCGTTCTTTCGGGGTGTGTGCGTATGTGGCAAGTGCCTGCTCTGTGCCCTGAGGTAACTGGTGAGCAAAACAGCCATGGTCCTTAATGACTTTGTGGGCTTGATGGTCCGGTAGGGAACACAGGCAACTAACACGCCGTCTTATGCAGTGTGACCGAGGGCTGTGAGGGGCTGCTCCAGCAGGACATTGTGTTGGGGAAGAACCTTTATTCCCCTTTTTTCACGAGGAGGGAGTTCTACTCACAGGCTCCGTTTCCATTGCTCTTAGCTCTCTTGCCCAGGAGTAACATTCCTGGCTTCTCTTCCCACTCCTCTTTGGGATAAGCATAGCTCAGTCCTTCTCCCTTTCTCTTTTTCTCTGCAAGTCAACCTGCTTTCAGAAAACGCACATTCTGTGACCCTTGGTGCTATATATTTCATAGGAAGAGTCCCCTCTGGGAAGTTCTGCAGTTGTCCAGCTGTCCCTATGACTGGTGGGTAAGTGTCTAATTCAGCACTGAAATCTCAGCAA